ACATCTCCGATTTGATTCAATGCAAGATTGAGTGCTGTGAGTGTCTAGACGAAAGAGCTTAAGTAAAGACACGGTATAGATGCTGTAAGAATGACTATTACCGTATTATGTCGTAATGCATTACTCAAATGCTGTACCCCAGCTTGTCTAATACGATTCCATGTAAGATTGAGTGTTGTGAGTGTCTAAATGAAAGAGTGTAAGTAAAGACATAGTATGCATGCAGAGAGAATGAGTATTACTGTACTATGTCGTAGTGCATTAGCCAAATACCGTGTTTCTACATCTCCGATTCGATTTCTTTCCAGATTGAGTGTGATGAGTGTCTAAATTAAAGAGTGCAAAATATGATAGGAATGCATAGAGACTGAATGATCGTCTATTGATTTCTGCTTTTATATAATACTAGTGAAATCTAGGTTGTTATGATTGTGTAGAGTGTTCAAATATGCTGTGCGAAAGTCTCGAGCGAAAGCTAGTTACAGAAAGTTGCGCATGTATAGAAACAATTGAGAAGTGTTATATAAAGTTTTCAAGTAGCGATATAGTTTAATACATGATTTAGAGTATCGCTTATAAGTTTTCTACAAGTATGACGCAAGTATAGCGGCTTCTCATCAGTTTTCTGTCATATTCATTGATGAGATTGGATTTATGTTTTGCATAAGAACTCACTAACAACTGTTGAAGTTTGTTTTATTCATCGGTATGATTTATGCTGGTAAGAAAATCTATTGATTTCAATGAGTGCATTCGATGGTATTGAATAGTTAAGTGTGCAAGAAACAACATTAATTGATAAAAACTGAAGAGTTCAACAATTTATCGCATAATGGTAGATGCATCATGAGTATAAGATGATTGCATGCTGAAACGCTCTATGAAAAGTATGCCTTGCGGATTCCTTCAGACTTCTTATTCTGATGATGAAATATCCTCAAAACTGCGTTTTTAAGAAAATGCCTTGTCGATGAAATGTGTTGCAGAACAATTATTTATGAAAAATATATCCAGTAGAAGTAATATTCACCATGATGATGTAGGTGTCAGTTATGTGATTGATTGAGCGTGTGGTTCTTTCAAAATCTGATTTTTATTTAGAGAAGTAGTATAAAAGAAATATTTAGATGTATATAAAAAACAAAGAACACTGTTTTTTTCTTTTTCTTTTCTTTCTTATCTAAACATTGTATGATCATGATACCATGTGTCTGTTTTAAAACGTACAATATTCTAATTCACTTGAAAAAAGTAAGAAATAAGTATTTTTAAAGTATCATAGCACTAAAAATGACTTTTAGAAAGACAGTAGTAATTGATGAATTAGTTTGAGCGATAAGTAGTCTATTATCGTGTCTTTTATTTAAGTCACTCTACTTAAATAGAAAACATAAGGAGACAAAATAATTGGAAAGTCAGTGATAAAAATTAGAATGGCATGATAGAAAGCAGTTTACCTGGTATCGATGGTAGCTGTCTAGGATGCTGTTGAATCGTTGGCATACGTTTTGCATTGAGCAAAACATTGTAAAGTCTGATTGGTGATCCAGAATTCGGTAGACAAGTTCTACCGGTAATGTAAGGAAAGTAGTTGTACTTTGTTTCGGCATTGTAGACTATTGTCGAAATATGTGTGGTAGTCTTTTATTATATGTTGTTGTTTCTTTTTTGTATTAGATGAGTAACTATTTACTTTGTGTCATAGAGATATCGCATGATGTTGTAATGACTTGTTAGAAGAAAACAAACGATAACATAGTGATATTAACTATAGTCGAGGTTTTTAGTAAAATTATTAAACAAGTCACATATCTTTTATACATGAGATAATATTGCTTGTATTCATTTACTTCTGAATTTATTTACTAGTTTATTTATCAATTGTCAATGTACATTCCTCGATTTTTGCTACAACAATTATCGATATAATTGAGGGTGTGAGTAAAGGTGATTATTTTTTCTTCACCCACACTCACACCGTCAAGATTATTTTTATTAGGATAAATTATATAAGTTTTTATTTACTGAAGAAAAATGTTACTAGACAGATATGAAATAGCTTCAAATTTGCAAAACATTCACATCTGATGCATTAAAAAAATTTCTATTCGACATAATCAAATTGATTTCGAATAAGAAGCAATGGAATAATTTAAGTTTTTATGAAAATTTTTTGTAACTGTCAGCAAAATATCTTTCAAAAAATGAATATGATTTCATATTTCGAAATTCTACAGTAAAAAAATCATCTATTAATAAATATTATTTTTACATCGATATTATATGACAGTCTCATATATATATATGAATAAGAACGATTAAAATAATCAAATGATTGTATATATGTTGAGAATGTGAAAGATGAGAATAAGAAAAACAAATATATGTATATAAAATTAAGTTATGCAGAATTTTCTTGTTAATCTTATATAATTTTCAAAGAAGAATTTATTTCACAATATCTTTTGTTTTGTAGACTTGAGATTCAATAGCCCAATGTTATAAATGAAATTTGAACTCAATCAAATATTTTATGAAATGTTTGATGAAAGATAAACCATCTTAAAAATTCATGAAAAAAAATAAAATAAAAAACTATATCTGCCGATTTATTTTGAGCTTAAGAATGAGACTGATAATGTCATTTATATACCAGAGATGTCCATGACAACGGCACATATTCATTCGCGATAGACATCTGTATCATGAACGTCCACGTTCTTTTTTACATCCAATTAACAAAGTAAATATTTAAGAGATTTGTTGTTTTTGAATTAAATTACTTCTTAATCCGTGAAAATACAGTTATTTCTCATTGTTGGTTATTTCTGCTCGTTAAGATCATTGTTAATCATTATAAAAATATAAACTTTCTTTTTTTTCACACAGTGGGTTTTATTTTTAATTTGGTTTTTACCTACATAAACGACAATAACATATATGTATCATTCTTCTCCAATATATGATTATTATATAGGGAAATATTTCTCTGAATAAGAAAAAAATTATATATAAGTTGAAGATGATGTAGAAGATGTGTTCACATTCTTTACCAAACATTCAAAGTGAATATAATGAATTCTTTCAATCAAAATCGATCTGATGCAATAGAAGACAGCTCTATGAAAAAATGTCTTGGAAATCTTTTACATTCTTGTTTGTGTTTAGTCTTCCTTTTGATCATTGTTGGAGTACTTGGAACTGCAACTTATGATGCAGCCAAACGTGATCAATCAATTTATAAACCAACGATGTGTTATGTCAAAAATTCTACTTTCATTGATAGTACATGTTCTGATTTAAATCATCATCATACATTTGCTCAAGATCAAACAGTAACATACAGAAGATGTAGAAAAACATTGTACAAAGTGAACTATAAGATATCCGATGGAAAAGAAATTAATTCTACAATGGTAGAATTTGATTTATCGGGAAAATCGAAACAGGTATGTAACAAAGTCTTCAAAAAGAAAACGTTATTTGAAGAGAGATATTTTTGTCCAAAAAATTTAAATCAGTTTTGAGAAGAGACGATACAATGAAAATTCGTGTAGAGATTTTGCTTTGAGACAATATCCATCATTCCCTGATTAAGAAATTGAAGTCAGAAATCTAAGATACTTTCTCGTGAGAACTTGGAGTAGATTCTAACAAAAATTAATGATTTGTCATCGAGATTAATCGACAAAATTTTCTCCATTCTTTTGACACGAGATGAAAATAGATCTGAGATTTCCTTCTGGAGACAATCAAAAATAGAAAAAGAAGAAGAAGGTATCTCTATTAAATTTTTCATGACTAATATTTTAAATCATTGATTGAATATCGAGAGTTAAATTTTAGGTTAATCAAACATACAAATGCTATTATGACAGTACAAGAGTCGAATCTGTTCGTTGGACATGGTCATATTCATCTTTATACAGAGATGTGTTGATTTCAGAATGGGTTATTTTAGGTCTTATCATATTAGCAATTTTTGGAATATCTCTGTATATATGTGACAAGTATCAAATAACTCCCGACAGCGGAGAATCTTCTGGTATATGAAGAAGATATGTGATTTCTTTTTCGTCTTTAATATTATGTTTATCTCAGAAAATTAATGTGAAATAAAATTGTCAAGACTTTTTTCATTTTTAATAACAATATATCGAATTTGTCAAAACATCATTTGTATGCAAAATCAACTAGTTTCTCATTCATTAAATTTCACTATGTGTCACAC